CACACACACACCAAAGAGGAAGGAAACATAACAGACATCTATGCAAACACACACACAAAAGAGGTCCCCCTTACCACTCAAATTACTGGTTTCTGAGGAAGGAACAAAGTGGATTGCTCAAATGTCATGAAACATCGTGACACAGGTGCCTCTTCCCTTACATATTAACACTACGTGACAGACAGTGATTTGTATAGGGGGTCAGTCCCACAGCAATAACTGCGTAACTACACCGAAATACCAGCTTCCCTTCCTTTAACAGGTATAGTGTATCACATACAGTAATTTGGTGAACACAACATAAGATTTGGGACACTCATATTTGGGTCAGAGGACGTTGCACAACTTCAGTTTAAATTTAACACAACATCCCTTCCTGTTTTTTAGCCACATAATTTATAAGAACAGAAAACAAAGAGGAAAAAGGCTGAAAATAAAAACTTTAATCTTTAATGAAATGCTAAAACAAAATTACAGCACAGGAGATAATATGTGGACGACATCACAGACATCACAACATAGATAAAAAAGATTAAGTGCAGATCGCTAGCAGTAAGTGCTTGTGTTATATTCAACTTAATTACACGCAGGAAGATCTATTAGTCATAGCCATTTGAAATAGTTGGACTGAACCATTTTGCACACATAAGGCACCATTCTCCTGTTTCAAGTGCAAGATTGCCACTCATTTCATGAGAAAATTAATTCATTGCAGTTCCTAAACTGCCCGAAAACAAAATTAAATATATACAACAAATATTTTCAAGTTTCCAATTATCGCTTATTTGCCAAATACGTGTAAAATGTCAGCGCGGACCTCCACCAAGGTATTTTGTTTCTACAGAGATGTTTGAGGGGACTATTATGTTTTATTGTATGTTTATTTAAGGCACACCATTCACTTTAATTACGACGGGTTTGAGCATGTGCAAAGAATTAAGCTCATTACATCATTCATTTGCCCCATCTCGCAATGTTAACTAAAGAGATAAATAATTTGTGTATCCGCCCTGTTATTCCCTTCAAAAACATATCCTCCTTGTTGGAGGTAAATATGATACACCAACAACTTAAACTTATCAACACAATACAAAACAAATAATAGTAACAATAACATACTTATTAAACAATATATAACCAGAAAGGCACTGTAGCAGTGCCATACCTCAGCTGTCCTCTCCCCTCTGCTGCTGCTGCGATTCACTGCCTGCAGGTACCAGACGGCCATATTTTGTCCGTGGTTAGCCCTTCCACAAAGTTTGTTGAAAACCGGGCCAGTCGTTTACCTTTCTCCAAGGTAACAACTATACATTTTAAGCTTTAACTTCGGGGTGTCTATACGTTATCTAAACTAATTTAATTTAAGGCCAACCCCACACATCCTATAAAAACAGCATTTCCAGTGGAGAATTTACTCATTCCTCCCTCGTTCTCTCCCTGATCTACCAGTAGAGGCAAAGGAGGAAACAGACTGCAGACCTTTTAGGATTGAAATCCGTCCAAACCAATCTTGTAATTAAACCCGCTCCAAACAGTACATTTCACGTTACAGAAATTAAATGTGCTCTAACTTCCATTTCAAGTGCAAATAAGCAAGAGGACACTATTATATTCGCAGTATCATAAGACTTACTAGTCTACAGTGAACACTATTTTGACCACCCAGCATGCTGGGAACATGCAACAGATGAAAATAGTTGTTACTATATGAAATACAGATATTTATTAAACAGTATCTAAATGTTATCATGGCAGCTATAGTATGTGAATATGTAACATATGAGTAGAGTTAAAACCCTTTGAGTTACAATGTGGTGACCCTGGTGGTAGAGCTTGCCCCCATGCAATGTAATTCATCATACATTAAAATGAGGTAATAGGATGTGTTTATATACTAGCACTGCATAAAATGTTTGTGATTGCAACAGATTCAACCATAGGGGTTAACACAAATGGCAGAAATAGCAGAAAGAGTTGAGATTGTGGTGACCGATTTGGTTTGGTTGGATTAATCTATTTTATCTAACAACTGTAAGGCCATTTGAGTGGTGTAATTCTAGTCGCAATGGAACCAATGGCTTATATTCTTGGCATTATGTTTACTTGGCATCCTTATGCTCTGGCAAGGAAATAACACAAACTGAACCTCTTGAAACGTGTAACCAGAACTCCGTACAAGTTGCTGTCGGGATTATTCAGCGTTATTCACAATGTTGAGTTCCACATTCAAACACGGTAACCCTCAGCTTGGTCATCTGACCCTAAGTCGACTAACACTGAACGTTTTTCATAACCAGAGGGGGGCTCGCTGACGGATTGTGCATCATCTTCTTCCAAGTTGCTTCCTGGCATGTAGCCAGGTCCTTCTTCTGTCCCTACCTCCACGACATCACACTCATCAGCCTTAGTCGACACCCCGATGGGCAGACGGCCTTCATAGTCAGGAGAGGAAATAGGAGTCGGTGGAAATTCTCTCTCTTTTTTCTCTACCGTTCCATTTGACAGCAGAGGTGTGGGTGAGATAGGCTCCACATCTTGCACAATGATCTGTTTCAGTGTATTGGTGATAGTCTTTAAAAGACACAAAGAGAAACCATTAGATAAGGGTTTACATTTAAAAACCTGGTGCTTCAGCGGGGGTAAACTCTTCTAGCATTCTCAATTTCTCAAAAGTTTTTTAAATAAAACCAGAGTTGGGAGGAAGAACTTACCATAACTTTTGGGAAATTGGAGCTTGATGCATTGGTCTTTTTTCGGTACACCATGAAGATGACAAAGGCAAATGCAGCCGAAATCAAGAGGCTGATGATGACATAGACATAATCTAGACAAAACAGATGTAGATATATTAACACACACACTGACAGCCACGAATACAAACACAGTCTAACCAAAGAAACCAGTGGCTCTGATTCACTGTGGTTTCTTCAGTGAGGGGGCTTTGTTCTTATACCAAAAGAAAAAAAAGAAAGAAAAGAGACTGGAGGGAAGTATCAGAAAGAACTTGAGTCTCTGCAGAGTGCTTACTTCACCCAGAACTAAGTTATCAGAACATAGCTCCTATCCATCTGAAAACAAGCATTTTAAAAGTTATTTGCTTGTCGCCTTGCGGACGGACATGACAAAGCATGAATTCAGACTTTTTACAAATCTGCATCATGATGTAGTTATTTCCACATCCTTCTAATCTGTTTCTTTTGGGCTCATACATCTGTAGTAATACAGAGTACACAGTGAAGATTTGCTTTGCTTTCTGTGTGAACACATCATTAGACTCAAAGATGAAGAGCTGAACCGCAGTTCTTCAAACCCCACAGGCACAAACAAAACTACATTTTATGAAAAGGAAATAAAACTATTTTACTCAACCTTTTCGCTCATCTGGTGGGCGTCTAACCGGCACGGTGCAGGACTCTCCTGTGGCCTGAACGGACACTTTTTCCATCTCGCCTGAGAACTTCAGACAGAGTTTCTCCAGTGCAGAGACCACTGTGAGATTCCCCTCACACACATCGTCCTCACAGTAGAACCTCTGGCTTAGGTCCTCCTGCACACACAACAAACACAGAGACCCCAGCTAAACTTAAAATACACAACCCATATAATGGTAAGCAGTGGTACTATTAATTATTGGTAATTCTGCCTCTGCTAAACCTACTATAAACAATGTTATTGTAATAATTCCATTGTTAGATCAATGTGATAACACACTATATGAGGTGTGACACCGTGTGCAGTCTGACCTGGTTGGCGAGCACAACGTCGTACTGAAATTCAGGTAGGAACTCTTCGTCAGCACTTTTCGAGTTTTTAGCCAACCTCTGCGAGTACAACAACCAGGGATGCTTAAATTGGAAGTGGACAGGGCCATCCTGTTGGGCAGTGACAGTAACTGGTGGGAAGTCGACAGAACCTGGAAACCAGCGACAAAAGCCGGCGTAAGTTGGTGGTTACGTGATCACATAGGAAATCAAAAAGTGTTTCGAGTTGTTCCTACGTTTGAAGGCAGAGTGGAGCACTGGTTCGTTAGTCTTGTTAATGACTCCAAATGTAACAGGCTACAGTTGTCCTGAATTATTTTAGCTATTTTGTATATTCAAGAGATGGATTAGAGTAATTCAGATGTTCTCATTGTAAGCTCAATGAATGCTGACACCACTACTCACATTTCTGTTGTGCTGGTGAACTAAGGAAATAGCTGAAAATGATTCCACCAGGAGGAGCTTCATCAGACTCATTCTGTCCAATCACAGCAGATACAGTAAGAAAGTAGTCACTACCTATATCCGAGATGGAGACATTAGCCTGTAGACTTGGTGGGGACACCAAAAGCACGACAGGATAACTGGAGAAACAAATGAGACAAGAAAAACAAATAATAAAGTCATGAGTTATCTCAGCTTGGGCTTGGAACACACAATGACCTAAAGTATAAACCATAATCATATGTCTTCAGTAGTTTTCTATAAATAGGTTCAAGGCTTTTGTAGTATGGTTTTAAACAGGCAAACGCACACATTTAACAGGTAATGTGTACAAAAAGAGAACTATTTATATCTTACCTTGACACTGAGCGGATTGTGACCTTGAACACAAGCCCTGGCACGAATTGATCGTAACTCCACTTCAAAACGTTGTGCAGATTGTGACACGCGAGGGTAACGTTGGCTGGCGGCTCCACTGTGGAAACAGAAACACAGACGTCAAACAGAGAGAGACTGTGAGCCATTCAAAGCGTACACTGAAAGTCTACCAATATAATCTAATAATAACAAGAAGAAGAATATCAGACCACCAAATTGTAATGCTACAGGTGGATCTCCTTTACAGAACTCTTTGGTCCAGAATGAGACTGGCAGCAAAATATTAGGCTAGAAATATGTAGTTTAGAAAGCCATAGCCTGAGGAAACGTTCCCCCTCTGTAGAGCTCCACCATCACTGAGGCCATTTACACACTCTCAGCTCAACCCTCACACTGCCACTTCTTCTTCAGACTTTCATACTTATTGTCAATGAATTGTCCAAAGGGCTGGGTAATTTCACTACCACAAACACCCCACTAGAGGGCACTGTTACACAATGTACACCAGGTGTGTGTTTTTTTTTTAAAATGTTAACCGCACCACGAGTCCACGAGCATAATGTGGGTAAATGTTTTGCCTCTCAGTACAGACAGAGGTACATACAGATGTATATACAGATGTATTTCTTCAGTGTTGGCTGTGGGGAGATAAAGGGCGTGAGTTCACTCCTGCACTGGGTGCTTCTTTTTATCTACTAGCAGAAGCTTTAGGTAACATCCCTTCTTACATCCTTCCCAACAGCCTTCTCAGTGCACACTTCCTCATGTCCAAACACAGATAAGAGCAGTGGCTGCCTGGGTAAGGTCGGTGCTGGGACTCGCAGTCTCTGATTGAACTTGTGCAGCATTACAAGCACACTAAATGATCTTGATGGCAGGCCTGATCAAAGCTGTGGGAAACCAGTTCTTTAACCGGTGCATGTTTACACAAGCCCGACATGTCATCCGTTACAGGAAGGATATGGTTCATACGACTGCCGTTATAGTGTCTACACACACACACACACACACACACACACACACACACACACACACCACTGATTCCTCTGTTTGCTGTGAGTTTTTATTTTTATTTTGAACCAAGCATCAAAAAGAAAACCCTCCAAAAAGGCTCTCCCTTATTCCGACATGTTGTTTCAGCCTTTTTGTCAGAATTCTGTTGTGCTTTACAGGAGTAATACCGACAGTGGCCACCGTGTTAGCGCATGTATCGCCCCCCTTTGGATATTCAGAGTCTCAGCTTTTTTGGATGAGTTACTGAACACACCTTCAAAGACTCTGATGAGCCACCTAGAGAAAAAGTACATTTCAGTTTCATTTCCTTCCCATTTACTCGCAGGCACGTGATGACACATACAACCACACAAACGCAGAGCGGCTCGAAAACAAATTGACAAATCAAAGACAGAAACATGTACTGTAACTGAAGTGATAACCGCAACAGCAAACTTGGTCGCTGAGGGCTCTCACCACAAGCTAGCTCCAGACCCACACACACACACACACCTATACACACCTATATACACACACACACACACCCTTAACCACTATTATTCTAGCTGTTTGACAAGCTGAAAGTGCAAAAGATATTTATTGACAAGTGAAAATATATCAATGAACTTCCTCACAGCACATGTTAAAATGTGTTTTACCCATTAAATACAATGTGTGCAGGGATTTTCAAATACTGAAGAAAACCACTTTTGCGCAAAACTTTGAATTTGCAGCTTGATTTTGCCCTTTTAAAACTACAAACGGTGGCGTGGGAACTGATTTCAATCAACCAATCGATCCAATCCCCATTGGGAAAAGTAGAAGCTATTTCCTAAACACTGGGCATGTTTTTAAGTTTATGTGATTGACGTGTGCCATCTTATGAAGCTAGAAAACAGAAGTAACAGACAAGTCTGGCAGAATTGTGCAGACAAAGCGAAAACCTCTTTCAGAAGCAGGAAGAGAAAGCAGATGCTATCAGACTTAAAAAGGAGGTCACTGGAGATAATGCGTATAACACACAATGGCTGGAAACTTTTCTCAGTGCTGCTAAAAACACTTTTAAAGAGTCCGTTAAGTTATAGTGGGAAAGTACGTACCAAAACAATGCAAGAATTACGTGCAATCAAATGTCCAAAAAGGGTAGGATGCAGGTACAGTACATTATCCCACACTTCAGCATCCGCTCACATTACCTTTACTAGAAAACTGCATTGGATTATTTGGATCCTAAAGGCGTTTCCTCACACGTTGTTTCCCGTCGCTGCAGTCATGTATAGAGCTGGGTAACTCTTGGGTTTTTAACAGAAAAACTAAATCACAACTACATCCCCACAAGTGACCTCAATAATGATCAATTAAAGGAGGATGAAGGAAATGGTTCACACGAAAATAAAGAGCACTCTACTGATCTTTTACCAAAATAAAGACAAATCTATCTTCATTTGTTAATAAATGTTCTCTTTAAAGTACTAAGCCATAAATACCCTGCAACCCTAACTACACAATATCAGCTATGCACTGATGTTTGCTGAAGTCCTCACGGCACACTTTACTTTCCACAGCGTGACTGTGAGCGTGGCTGCAAACATCATGGCGGACATCTGCAGGAGCATGTGCAGGAAGCACGTCATTTCAGTTCACCGTGCGGCGAGCGGCCCTATAGTCGGTGAAGGAGAGGAAACCCAAATTATTTTTTTCCCAGTTTAAGGTTTGACGAATGCACCACGCCAAGCAAATTCAAAGTTAACTGTCTATCCCTACCCATACTACTTATATATGATATACTAATGTTATCGTACTACTGTATGTTTATATATGAGATTATAGAATATTATATATATATATATATACACAGTGTCTCTGCTATCCTAACTTAGGACATTCTTAAGACAGTTCTGCAATAGTTACTTTTCTTTTTACTAAACGCAGTTAGCGAGGATGTTTCTGGACTACCAAAGACTGAATTGAGATGAGATAGAATTAGGAGGAAGTTTCAGTAACTAGGCCCCAGGGCTCTAACAATGACTCTGTTCCATTGAGTGTGCCAGTAAAGGGCAGTACGCAGCGAGGACAATAACACGGTTCACAAAGATGCCAAAATAAAATCAGTCTTTTGAAGAGACATTTTCCTTTGGTAAAGCAAAAAGAGGACATGGTTAAGGACTTAGACTGTTTGGCAGTATGCTCCTTCCTTCAAATGGACCTTTATTATTTGGGATTTGCAGCCTAAAATAATAATAATAATAATGTTTAATAAGTTCTATACAACAATATTCAAATCTCCCTGAAAGTGATCCCAGCACTAGCATGCTGACAGCTGCGTCTCACGTGTTTTCAATGAGGAATTCTGCAGCTTTCTTTTAAAGGGCACAGCGGCCATTGAAAACAGCACACGCAACAGTGACCGTGGTGTAATTCCCACCCTGTAGATGTTCTTTCATTATCCTCCATCTCATGCTATGGGCCAACTATAAGGTGAGACGTGACACTTGCGAGGTAAAATCGAATCAAGGCATAAATGAAAGCAATCTCATGCTCACGCGGCATTTACTTGGAAAGCCCCAATCTCACCAGAGTTGTGCTCTTGTATACAATGACTCATCACAATTGGGTGAATTGTTAAGGGGATTTAAACAACGTTCAAGTATTGCACGATTCATACGTCATGACTCAACAGGACACCGAGCGTGTCTCATGACGGACTGACAATACTGAAAATCCTGTTTGGTTTAACATTCATTTATTTTTTCACATTTGTTTATTTT